ACCTATGAAAAAAGGGATTCTCAGTTTCATATGTAGAAATTTGCTTCTTGTACTCTCATTGTTTGTGTAAACGTCTCAGAAGACCTGAGTTCCATTTGTATTATTAATGTATATTTATACAAAGAGGCTCTGCAACTAATAGCTATTCCTAAGAAAGCTGTTTCTATACTAACACAACTCTAGGAACAGAAGAACAGAAACTAACAGTCTGAAACGAAGGGAGGGGAGTAGTGGTGAGGTTGTTCCCGAGTTTGTCTCTCCCTTATCACGCCCCCGCAAGTGGAACCTCAAAGAGGTGAAACTTGGAGCAGAAGTTGCGGAAGGATTGTCGTGTGAGAGGCTTCGTGAGAACATCTGCTAACTGATCAGTAGCCGGTAGATATCGAACATGTAGTTGTTGCTTGTTAACCCGATCACGAACAAAATGGAACTCGATTTCCAGGTGTTTAGACCGTGTGTGGAAAACCGGATTGTGAGCGAGATATGTGGCGCCAAGGTTATCACACCATAGAACAGGTGATGTGGAAGGAGATTGACCAAGTTCAGCTAAGAGTGCTTGTAACCAAATGACTTCGGAGGCAAGCGTTGCTAGCGCCCTGTATTCGCATTCTGTGGAAGATCGAGCCACTGCATTCTGTTTTCGAGTGGACCAAGATACCAAATTCGTTCCATGGAAAACAGCAAAGCCAGAAACTGACTTGCGGTCTTTGGGACAAGAGGCAAATGATGCATCCGAATAACCATGTAATTGTGAATCAGCCGATCGTTGAAAGAGAAGGCCCTGTGTAAGTGTGCCTTGGAGATAGCGCATAATGCGCTTCACAGCTGCCCAATGAGCATCCGATGGAGACTGCTGAAACTGAGAAACGTTATTGACCGCAAAGGATATGTCCGGCCGAGTAAAGCTCAGATATTGGAGACCACCAACTATACTCCTGTACAAGGTCGGATTATCGAATGCCGGAGACAGATCTGATCCACTTTGTGTGAGCTGATCAGGTGCAGGGAGTGGAGATGGATTTTGCTTAGGCCATTCCTGAGCGTTCCAGCAGCTCTAGGATGTATTTTCTCTGATTTAGGAGCAAGCCAGCTTGGGTGTAGTGAACTTCCAGGCCAAGAAAATAAGATAATCGGCCAAGATCCCGGAGAGCAAACCGAGAACGTAAATGAACCATCAGCTCCTGGATGACCCTCGAATCCGTGCCTGTGATGACAAGGTCGTCCACATAAACCAACATATAGAGAACCACAGAATTAGCCCTGTAAATGAAGAGTGATGGATCAGACTTGGATGCCACAAAGCCGAAGTCCCGAAGTGCTTGAGAGAGACAGTGAAACCAAGCACGAGGCGCCTGGCGTAAGCCATAAATAGATTTCCGAAGGCGGCAGACATAGTCAGGGTGTTCTGGATCAATAAACCCAACCGGCTGGCGCATATAGACTTCTTCTTGAAGAGTACCGTGTAGGAATGCATTGGAAATGTCGACTTGATGCAATGGCCATGCTTGAGAGACCGCAATACTCAGCAGGAGCCGTAGAGTGGTTGGTTTTAGAACTGGGCTGAAGGTGTCACCAAAATCATGGCCGGGAATCTGCTCAAAGCCACGGGCGACCAACCGGGCTTTCTCGCGTTCAAGAGAGCCATCCGGATTCGTTTTCTCTGCAAACACCCATCTGTTAGACAGAATATTACAGTCAGGAGGGGCTGGAACCAAGTCCCAGGTATGATTGCGAACAAGGGCGTCAAACTCGGTGACCATGGCCGCCCGCCAACGAGGTAATTTCAGGGCCTGAGCCGCAGTAGAGGGCACGCCTGAGGGAGCAACAACGAGGTACTGACGGGGTTTGAGCTTGCCTGTCTGTGTTCTTGTAATTATGCGCCAGGGAGGGGCGGAGGCAGGCGATGGTACAATACGGGGGGACGTATTGAAAGGGGGACGATTTGGGAGGTCGGGAGATCTAGAAGGCTTGGAAGACTGTTGTGAGCGAGGGACAGGAGGTGCAGGAGGTGGATGTGGGTTGCCAGGAATGGAGGGGGAGGGTGGTTGGGAACGACGGGTATATTGCAAAAGAGGCTGCTGGGTAGGCTGGGCGACGACAGGGCGTCGGCGATATTGGAGCAAAGGGGTAGGGCGCGGGTTTGGGGGTTGGATAGGAGACCGGGCAGAGGCTGCTGGGTCGGGTTGGTGTACAGGGGTAGTGGGCGATTGATTAGGTTGGGGGTCGGGTTGTAGAATAATGGCAGTGGGCTGGGGAATTGGGGTAGTGGGCTGAGGAAGGGAAGGCATGGGCTGAGGTGGGGAGGACATGGGCGGAGGTGGGAGGACAGTGGGCAAAGTGGGCTGAGGAAGGGGTAAATGGGTCTCGGTTGACTGTGGGAATTGAGGAGAGGTTGGGTTAGACAAAATGAGAGGTGGGCCGGGAAGGGAAATTGGTTCGGTGAGAAAAGAAGCAGAGGAAATAGGATTATTTGGGTCAAGCGGAGTATCTTTGAATGGGAACACTGATTCATCAAAGAGAACATGGCGACTGACATGGATACGTCCAGTAGATCGATCAAGACACCGGTAGCCTTTATGTAAACCATTATAGCCCAAGAAAACACAAGGAGTAGAACGAGGTTGGAGTTTGTGAGAAGTTTGAGGCCGAAGCCAAGGATAACATAAGCAACCAAAGACACGAAGATTTTCAAGATCGGGGGATTTATGAAAGAGAGTATGGAAGGGAGAACGATTTTGAAGAAGAGGAGTGGGAGTGCGATTGATTAGATAACACGCGGTATCAAAAGCAAGGGACCAATATTTGAGTGGAACATTTGCCTGATGTAACATGGCGAGACCATTATTAACAATATGACGATGTTTTCGCTCTGCGCAGCCATTTTGTTCGGGCGTATAAGGACAAGAAGAATGATGAGTGATGCCATTTGCCGCAAGATAGGAGGATAAGGATTGATATTCACCACCCCAATCAGATTGAAAAGTTTTGATAGGAAGACCAATTTTTTTTTCAACAAGTTGACAAAATTGGATGAACACATTGAGAAGTTGAGATTTATACCGCACAAAATACACCCAGCTGAACTTACTATAGTGATCATAGAACAACACATAATAAGATTGATGATCATACAAGAGAAGAGGAGCGGGGCCCCAAAGATCACTACAAATAAGCTCCAATGGTGCAGAAGCACGATATTGGGAAGAAGAAAAGGGTAATTTGTGAATCTTACTAACAGAACAACCATGACACAAGGAATCAGGACTATCATGGTATTTTATTGAATTAGACGACAAAAGATGTTTAACAACGCGGAGATTGGCGTGACCCAGCCGTTGATGCCAGAGATCAAGCGAGGCAGTGAAGACACGAGGGAGAATACGACTTTGGATATGGAGAGGTAGTGAGTAGAGACCATCCCGCGCGCAACCACGATATAGTTCAGCCTTCGTGCGGCGATCCTTAATCACAAAATAGGTATCAAAAAATTCAATGGAAATGGGATTAGAACGAGTTAAGGAGCTAACAGAGAGAAGATTCTGAGGTGCATTCTGGACACGAAGCATATTATCGAGAACATATGAGTGATTAGAAAGATGAGCATGAGAGGAACCAGAATGAGAAATGGGAAGGGTTTTACCATTGCCGAAGGTGACTTGATCAGGGCCGTTATATTCCGAATGATGAATCAGATTCCCTAAATCGGAGGTAAGGTGATGATTTGCGCCGGAATCAAGGAGCCACTGTTGGGATGATTGGACCGGTTGAGAGGATTGGGCAAGGTACGAGGATGGGCCAGGGTTATACGTGGACTGGGCATGAATAATTGGGCTGGGACAATGGGCCCGGACATGGCCCTTTCCCCCACAATTGTAACATAACATTAGTGATGGGCCTGCAGGCCCAGCGCCTAGCAAACCTGTGGAAACAGGCCGTGGGCCATGTTGATTGGGCCGCCCACCTGCAAAAGAAGGGTTAGAAAACCTGGGCTGGGAAGCAGACCCGCGACCCCCAAAACGGCCGCCCCTACCGCGTGAGAATCGGCTGCCGTTCCGCCCCCCTCGAGCGGAATAGAAAGCCTGCGGAGAAGACAAGGTCGCCGGCGCCGATCGGAACCGCTGGAGTTGCATCTCCTCACTGAGAAGCAGGCTGCTGACGTCTTCAAAAGCAATGGGTTCTAGACGCGCCTCTAGATTCCGAGTAAAAGGACGGTATTCCTCATCTAGCCCATCCAAGAGAGCAACGACCAGCTCCTGTTCGGTGACCGTCGCGCCCAAAGCGAGCAGCTTGTCATAGATAGCTTTGGCGCGGTGCAGATATTCATGAATCGTCTCGTTGCCACGAGATAGACGTAGGAGATCCTTGCGAAGTTGGCCGATGACAACGGGAGAGCCTGAGGCGTAAATGGTAGCCAAGGCGGACCACGCGTCAAGAGCCGTGGCTTTGTTGACGACGTTGGGCAGAACTGCCTCGGATAGCAAGAGGTTGATCCAGGTGAGCACATACTGGTCACGTACATACCACGGCTAGTAGGCGAGATTGGGCTGACCATTGACGACTTGTGGCGGAGCAGGAAGGGAACCGTCAACATGGCCGATCAATTGATGACAGCGAAGGAGAGGAGTGATCTGTGCATGTCACAACAAGTAATTCGTTGGTGTCAGCTTGACAGTGAGCTGTGGGTTGGCCGGCAAGGAGATGGTTGGGACGGACGACGAAGATGTCTCGCCGGAAGCAGAGGAAAAAGAAACAGAGGAAGGGTCGGTCGTTGTTGGTGTTGAAGAAAGAAAAAGAAGGGCCGCGAAGAAAGAAGGGGAAGCAGAAGGGACTCGTTAGAGTGCAATGGGCTCTGATACCATGTAAACGTCTCAGAAGACCTGAGTTCCATTTGTATTATTGATGTATATTTATACAAAGAGGCTCTGCAACTAATAGCTATTCCTAAGGAAGCTGTTTCTATACTAACACAACTCTAGGAACAGAAGAACAAAACTAACAGTCTGAAACGAAGAGAGGGGAGTAGTGGTGAGGTTGTTCCCGAGTTTGTCTCTCCCTTATCAGTTTGTTGGTATTATAAAGCTTAATCTGCAATAATAAGTTCCAGTCTGATGTCTTCTTTTCTGTGGGGACAGGTCACCGTTTGCAATGAAGTCACATGAAAATGGAGAGATTGATTTGGAAGATGGAAAGTCAGAAAAGCCTGTAGATAAGGTTATACGCAGTAACAAACTTATGGTGCATAATCAGGCTTTATTAGCTGGCCTAGCATATTGTATTTCTTCCTGCAGCATGATACTGGTCAACAAATTTGTGCTTTCCAGCTATAACTTCAGTGCTGGTATATCTTTGATGTTGTACCAGGTGAAATTCTGAAACTAAATCAATCCAAAACTAGGAGTAATTGTCTTTTAGTGTACTTCTGACCAACTCATGGTGCCTTTCTCGCATGATGCAGAACTTTATTTCAGTAATCATTGTATCAACGTTAAGCTTCCTGGGTATAATCTCAACAGAACCACTAACATGGAGACTAATCAAAGTCTGGTTGCCTGTTAATGTCATATTTGTCGGAATGCTCATAACAAGCATGTTTAGGTGTGGTAATTCATCATCATGAGAGTTAGTTTTTCCCACAGGAAAGATGGTTCGTTTTGAATCTTGTTCCTGACTGTTGTTTTGTGTGATGTTGCAGTTTGAAGTATATCAATGTCGCCATGGTCACAGTTTTGAAGAATGTGACTAATGTTATCACTGCAGTAGGCGAGATGTATCTATTCCAGAAGCACCATGATAATAGAGTGTGGGTGGCTTTATTCTTAATGGTATCTTCTTTCGCTAAATGCATTTTTGGGAAGAAAAGGGGATTGAAGAAAGTGTTAAGAGAGGAGAGCCTGGGAGAGACTAATAACTTTTTGGATGCTTTTGCAAGATCATCGTTCAAATTTCCCCCTTAAACTGAAGCCTCATAATCTCCTTTCTTTCAGCTTTCAATATGGGATAACCATAGATTTGATAAAATTCTTGATGACCTTCTTAGACTTAGTCACATCTCATATATGGCTCTGCTGAAGGTTTCAGCCATAAATTTTGTTCAACGATCCAACTAGACCATAAATTTTTGCTGGTTGCAGATTGTTTCAGCCATTTCTGGAGGCCTCACAGATCTATCTTTTCATGCCGTTGGCTACACATGGCAAATCAGAAACTGCTTTTTGACTGCATCATATTCGGTGAGTACATAAGTCAAAAGGCTTTGGTGAATATTTAGCTAAGTAAGTCATACATGTCCTACCTCATCTGCAGTGAAGAACTTGAATCTCTGAACTCCAATGTAGAAGGGGGGATATTAGTGATGATTGGTTGGAAGTCTGGTGACTGTTCTCTTTGTGATTCTCATTCTCTACTGTTACTGCAGCTCACTCTACGTAGGGTGATGGACACTGCGAAGCAAGTTACCAGATCTGGGAACCTAAACGAGTTCTCAATGGTCATGCTCAACAACACTCTTTCTCTTCCCCTGGGCCTTGTTCTTATATTTGTATTCAATGAGGTGGACTACCTCACCACAACGTGAGTTTCCTTCTTTCTTCTTCTCCAACGTCACCTTTCATAAGTTAGTTTTTTCCAGCGGTGGGAAAATGGTGTTTGGTTAAATCGATGCTGAACTCGCGTTCCTAAACCCCCTTTCTTCGGTTATTGTTTCATATTCCTCAGAGGAGCATTTGCATTTGCATTGTGTAACTAATTATCGGAATTCATATCAACAGTCCCCTTTTGACATTACCAGTCTTCTGGCTAGTGATGACATTGAGTGGGTTCCTGGGTCTTGCTATCAGCTTCACTTCTATGTGGTTTCTTCACCAGACTGGGGCTACCACATACAGGTAACATACAAATAGTGAATGTGGATTGCTACACATCAAACTCTACACATCAAACTAAGGTATCATGTTTCGTCATCGATTTTCTTTCGTTGGGTTGGAAATCTCTGCAGCCTAGTTGGATCGTTGAACAAGATTCCTCTATCTCTTGCTGGCATCCTGTTGTTTAAAGTACCTACAAGCTTGGAGAACTCTGCTAGCATCCTCTTCGGTTTGTACTCTCTTTCTCTCTCTCTGCATATGCAGAATGTCACTTCTAAACAACGTTTTGCCCTCCTTTCTCTTCAGGTTTGGTGGCTGGAGTATTCTTTGCCAGGGCAAAAATGCGTGAGAGACCGTAGTTTGCTGGCAGAATCTGGCAAAATCGCTGATGTATACAAAGTTTAGCATCTCCACCTTAGCTCAGGCAGGTGCATGAAACCCTGCTAACTTCGAGAACCACTGGTCCAAATAGATTTTGTACACTAATTTACCAGGCACCGCCATCTCGGTTATCTGCTCTACGCCTTATGCTTCTGCAATACAATGGGAGGTCTGTATCTAGCTTTACCGCCATCCATTTTGCTTGTGAAATTTGGTGTATTCATCTGTGTATTTTTGTTGGGCAAGACGCCCATTACATCTTCCCTTTGAACTGGTAGCTACGTGCTTTTAGGAGACTATGATCAAGTTTGAGAATGGCCACCATGTATGATGAATGATCAGGTAAGGTCCTTGCAAAAACCATTCTTCATCACTGGTTTCATCAATTAATGTGTCCTATTTACTTCCCCTACAATAGACGAATTGCAGAAACAGAATTAGGTCTAAGATTTAAGATTGGAAGTGAAGTGACAAAACATGAACCTAATTTGGTGTTGGAGATATCTTTTAATCCAACGAACTAAAAACGAATAAACAACACACTGCATATCACGATAATCTCTGCTTCTTCTCATTCACGATACGAAAGATACAATGATAAAATTATCTATACATCAGCTGGGTACAGGTGTGATAAAAGTTGGTGGCAATCGAGCAAAACTTGGTTAGCCTCAAGACGCAGAGTTCTCGGCTGCAGTTGATGATTCTTCTGACTTAACCTCTACCTGAGGAGCTTCTGATGCAGCGGAATCTGTTTCTGTTGCAGCAGATTCTGTCTGCACAGGTGGCGTAGCAGACTCCGGTTCCGGCGGCGCCGCCGCCGCTTGGACGACCTCCGGTGGCTTGTACTTGTTGATGTAGTATGTCAAAGATGGACCGTTGTATTGAGCTGTCTGCACTTGAGGCGGTGGTGCGTTCTTGTTGACCTGAAGCAGAATCGACGAAGCTGCAGCGATGGCAATCAGGGCAAGTCCGCCGGAGATTGCAGCTGTGTTTTCTGCTCCGCTGGATGAAGAACCTGGTGCCCCGGAACTTATAGCGCTCTCGGCTACATAAACCGTCGGCTGCAACCCAAAAGAAAACAACCACCCAAATAAGGGTTGAAAATTGAAATTGGATGGTTCATGTTATCTATAGGGACACAACAAGTACAAGTGTAGCACGATTCACAAACAGTACCTCGACGGGGTAGATATTGGTCTGGCCGGCGGTATCTTTCTCGACGTAGCCTGTGTATTGCCGACCACCGCGAGTGCGAGGTGGGAATGTTCCCACCACTTTGGTTTTCTCCTCGGCCTTCCACTCCATGCTTATCTTCCCAACCTAACGAATCCCAACCCACAGACCACAAGCAGCAATCGCATCAGCCACTAAATTCTCTGCTAGACAAAATAACAAACACCTAACAGGCACGAACGAGAGAAGCACAAAAAACTGCAGACTTGTTTTGCGAAAGAAGGGATAAATTATCTAATTTTGGATAGAGCCCAACTCTCACCTCCTTCTCAGGAGCACATTCTTCGGTGTTGCAATCGGAATCGACATCGGAAGAAGAAGCTCGGACGGTGAAAAGCTTCGAACTTGGCCGCCTGACGCTCTGGAATTGCCATCCCCTGTTTGAAGCTGTGAAGGAGCAGGCGTTGGCTGATGATATGATTGCCTGCGAAGAAGAAGCGCTTGCCAAAGCCATGACCTTTCTCCCTCTCTCCCTTCCTAGACTTCACCTCGACACTCCGATAGGAATTGATTCAACAGCTGGACTGGCCAGAAATGAAGGGGGAAATCGAAACCCCACCACCACCAGCGATCCGAGAGAGCTTAGAGGGAGAGAGAGAGAGGGCCCTTCCAGTTTTCGGATTGAGGTGGGAAGTTTGTGTGGTGCGAAATGGAAGCGTAGCAAGTGGCTTACGTGTCACGTCCTAAGGTATAAATGAATTTCATATGTTTTGATGAATTCATTTTGAAATTAAACATTTTTGTGTTTGGTATTCAAAAGAATTCATTTTCAATTCTAAATTTTGAATTCTATGAAATTGGAACTAGTTATAGCAATTCCGACTTCCGAGGAATTGAGATGAAATTTACAAATAAATTCAGTATTTACTAATTATAATAGAATGACATAATTATCTTTGTTTATTAACTAAATTACTTGCACATATGACATACCAAACACATGAATTCATTTGACAATGAATTCTACATGATAATTCATTTTATTTCTAAAAATTTGATATAACATACAAAACACAAGATTTCATTTCACAATAAATTATATATGATAATTGATTTTACAATAAAATGAATTTTTTCATTACCAAACCCTCCGGAATTTTGCTCTTTCCCTTTCTCCATCTGCCGCCAATGCACTCCCAAGTCCGACTCTATGGCCTCTTTCTTTCTTATTTCCTTCGTGCTCTAAATGTGACATTGTTGTCTTAAGTGTCCAACATGTGGCCAAATATCTATATACTTCTGCAAGCACATTCTCACATTGAGAATCGGTAACATTTTAGCAAAATATGTTTTGGAGTACATAAAATATGTGTTCCCTTCTTCTTGTTGTTGTACTGAATCGGTAACATGTGGGTAAGCCCTATTAGTGCTTTTGAAGTACATAAAATAGGCTTAATTGCAAGTTTGGTCACTCGAATTGCTAAAAAATTCCACGTTTGCCACTCAAATTAATTTATTCCATTTATAGTCACTCGAATTAGTTGAACAGTTCAAGTTCGGTCACTCTCCGTTAATCTCCGTTAACTTTGACTGACGTGGCGGTCAACTCTGACAGTTGACCGTTAAATGTGTGACGTGGCAAATAAAAAATAATATATTAAAAAAATTTAATTATTTAAAATTTACACCTCATTTTTACATACATTAATCTTTAAGCGATAAAAAATCTTTCTTTTCTTCTCTTCTTCACGTAATCCAATTTCTGAAATTCTCTGGCCTCGGATATCTCTTCCGAGGAACTTCCGTCAACGTTCCAGGTGGGGAATTGGATAAAAAAATGCAGCGCTAGCCCCCGCCGCAAGCAGGCGCAGCCAAGCTCCAGCAAAGCCAAAGCCGCTGCCACCGTCGAGACTGTCCGTCATACTACTCGACCAAGGAATGTTGACAGTTTACAAACGGCTGTTCACAGTTTGCTTAACACTCAACATCCTCGCTTTAGTCCTCGCCGCCACCGGAGACTTCCCTTACGCGAGAAACAGAGCTGCTCTGTTTCCAATAGCCAACATCTTCGCTCTAACTCTCTGCCGGAGCGAGGCCTTTCTCCGGATCGTATTCTGGCTCGCCGTGAAACTTCTGGGGAGATCATTTATTCTGGCTCGTCTATGCTCTGTTTCTCACCCTGAAAAACAGAGCCGACACTTCCTCTGAAATCATAGCGAAAGCATCCACCATTCTTTCCCTTCTTGGATTCTCGTGCTTAGCAGCTTTCCCACTCGTCCGCCATCTCCACCACAATTTCTTCGATCGAGTCCATCGATTCACAGGCTGGACGTCGCTCTGCCTTCTCTGGGCGTCTGTCACTCTCACAATCACGTACGACAGAGCAACCAAATCTTACATCAACGAATTGGGTTCGAAATTAATCAAACACCAGGAGTTTAGGTTCACGATTGTGATTTCTATTCTAATCATCATCCCTTGGCTGACCGTGAGACGGGTTCCGGTCAAGATCTCGTTGGGCCACGCCTCGTTGATCAAATTCGAAGGCAGGGTTAAACCAGGGATACTGGGGAGAATCAACCCGTCCCCGTTGTTGGAGTGGCACGCGTTTGGGATAATTTCCGTTGTCGGAGTGGCTTGCGGAGGAGGTGTACAGGAAGCAGTCGTCGTGGGTGATGCTGAACTCGAGGTTGAGAGACGAGATCAAGATCTCGGTGGCGAGGAAAATCGGCCAGGAGGTTTTACGAGCGGCATCGGTGGAGAGGAACGATCTGGCGGTGGAAAATAATAACTAAAAAAAATTAGGATTTTTTTAATTTATAATAATTAGCTGGAAAATAAAAATAAAAAATAATATCATTTTGTTATTTTTTAATTGCCACGTCACACATTTAACGGTCAACTGTCAGAGTTGACCGCCACGTCAGTCAAAGTTAACGGAGAGTGACCGAACTTGAACTGTTCAACTAATTCGAGTGACTATAAATGGAATAAATTAATTTGAGTGGCAAACATGAAATTTTTTAGCAATTCGAGTGACCAAACTTGCAATTAAGCCACATAAAATATATACATTTTTATGTTCCCTTCTTCTTGTTCTTGTACAAAAATTTGCATTAGGAAAATCGATCATGAAATTTCATTATGTTACCACCGTTATCAGGGGTGTTCAAATAGAGTGGTTACCATGATAACCGTTTTAACCGGTAGTATTTTGGATAATTTAGATGGTTTAGTTGGTTTGATTTTGGTTAAATTTGCTAGCTTGTTTGATTTAGTTGGTTTGATTTCAGACACTCCTAAGTCCTAACCAATCGAACCAAATTAACCAGTTAAGTAATTAGCCAATATATCTAATATATATATAATCTACACATACTTAATACTTTGTATAACCACTCAAGAGTCAAACTTTCCTCCCTTTAGCCTCGTAACAAATAAAACTCAAAATTGTTCCTATATATACTGTATATTTGTATTTGTAAAGTGTAGACCACGACATATAGATGCCTAATCAGATAAAACTCATACACTATGTTGGATGAAAACTTGAAAATAAGGTCTTTTTTCAGCCTATGATAATTGCTAAAAGACAAATTCAACTCACGCAAACAAAACAATTCATCAACTTCATACCATTGCATGTATTTTTGTTAGATGAATACTTCTGTTAATTGTATTAGTTACATGTATTTATGTTAAGTGTTCACTATAAAATGTGTTGATTGTTATGTTTTTAGGGCAATGTCTATTTTTTACCCAAATCTTTTTCGGATTCTTTTATTTTAACCAAACCTATTGAATTCCTAAAAATTATCCAAACGTTAACTCCGTCAACTTTTCTGTTAGTAATGCTGACTAAGTATGACCATAATGAGTTGACTTCCTACGTGGCGGTCAGAATACCATCATTTACTATTTTTAATAAAAAGATTATCAAACAACAAAACAAAATCTCACTCCTCACGTGGACGAAATAAGTAACGGTAACAGAATGAATGCCCAGACTTTGATAAACTATAATACGTTTGGATAATAAATAGAATTTCTATAGGTTTGGTTAAAATAAAAGAATCTAAAAAAGATTTGGATAAAAAATAGACATTGCCCATATTTTTATTACATATATATATATAAATTACGAATTCATGTTACTTCCAATCAACTATAAAGAAGAAAAACACTTATCTAATCTACACATTATCAACGGAGTAAACAATTAGGAACAGTGAAGCTGAAATTCAGGCCCTGTTTCATTAATGTATTCGTCGCCTACTTTTCCTACGTAACGTATTTAATAACCATCGCCCTCCTCTCCTCCTCCCTTATTAATTGCAATTTTTACAACTGTACATCTGAATCTTCTATCATTCTCAAAGCGTTGAACATCAATCCCAAGGCTTCCCCTCCACTGCAGTCTCTCCATCCCCACTCATCCATTCGCTTTCATAACTACATCATTCCACTTTCCCCCCACTCTCTCTCTCTCTCTCTCATGTCCACCGCCGATCCGCCGGTCTCGCCTGCCGGCGTCGGCCTCGGCTACGGGATCGCCATCGCCGTCAGCTTCCTCGTCCTCATTTCCACCATAATGCTCGCTTCCTACATTTGCGTCAGGCTCAAGACCAGCAGCAGCGGCGCCCATGGTTCCAGAGACAACGGACGCGACGACGATGTCGTCGTGAGTGATTACCGGTACCAGCTCCACCACCAGCTCCGCCGCGACAACTCCTCGTCGGAGGCGGCGGAGGAGTTCGTGGCCGGGCTGGATCTGACGTCGATCGAGTCGCTGCCCAAGATTTTATTGGGGGAGAGCAAGCGGCTGCCCAGGCCCAACAACGGCGGCCCATGCTCGATCTGCTTGTCCGACTACCGGCCCAAGGACACGCTGCGGTGCATCCCAGAGTGCAACCACTGCTTCCACGCGCATTGTGTGGACGAGTGGCTCCGGGTGACCGCCACGTGTCCTCTCTGCCGGACTTCTCCCGCCCCGTCCCCCGGTCCCACCCCGCTGGCTTCTCCGTTGTCGGAGCTGGTGCCGCTGGCCGTTCATGTCGCTAGGTAACAATTTAATAGGTAGGAGATGTGTTTTTCAGATTTTCCCAATAGGGTTTGATTTCTCTCTCTTTTTTTTTTTTTTTTCTGGATCTCACAATAGGGTTTGTGCATTTCTATACTTTGCTTCTTTCTTAGTTCTTGCTTGTGATGAGTGATGACTTGAGGATCATGCCAACATTTTTTTTTTGTGAAATGTAAATGTCAAGATGGTGGAGATTAGAAATTTAGTTGGAAGAGATTGAATTCTTTAATTTACTGTGTATAGTAATTTCAGTAGCGGTAATTTCTTATTTACTAATTCCTGATTCCTATATCATTCATTTGCTTGTGATTTGGGCCATGAATTTTGATCTTTGGAAAAACATGGCCTAAACTTTTTCTTTGGGTAATGTTTATTTTTTATTTTTTATCAAACATTTTTCATGTTCTTTTATATTATTCAAATCTATCGAAATACTAAGAATTAGCCAAATGTTAACTTTTTTTTTATATTGGAAATACATGTATAATTTATTAATGGCTCAAAAAGTTTGAATTACAATCAGCCTAGAGGATAGGAATGAGAAAAATAGGTGGTTTGGCAGACCAAATTTCCTCCTCCTCCTAATGACACAGGGTATGGGCCATCAAACGAGCCGCTCTGTTTGCTTCCCGGCCCGCAAAGTGAAAGTTGAGCCCATTCTTCTCTTCAACCCGTCTCCTGATCTCACCACACACATAAGCCAAATGTTAACTTTTAGTTAGCAATTTTGTTAGTAATATTAACTTGGCAACATGATACTGACTTGGAAGAGACACATGAAGGTCAACATTCTAGTGGACTTATAAGATAAAAGGTCGACCATTCCCATAATGAGGTCGACCATATCAACAAAGTGGTCGACCATTTAAATGGAAAGGTCTACCCGAAAGAAAAATTCACTCAAACTAAGAGAAGTGAATAGGATAAATGTTGGCTATACACGCGAACTTTATAAATAATAGATCTACGCTTACTAGAAAATGAGATGACAATATTTTGAGATTTTGCTTATTTAAGTTGACCTTTAAATTTTGATTGGTTGTCCTTGTTGCACCCACAATATCATGCACCTATAGAAATTATAGAAATCTAACAAACTACCGTAAAAATTCACAAATTCAATCCACAATCATAGTAGAAGGAATCCGTAACTTCTTAACAGCATAATTAGTAACACCAAAACATAATAAGCACACCTCACAATAGTCACACATATGTGAAATTGAAAACCATAACGCTTGTTATCAATCCACAATCATAGTTATTTTAAACCAAATCATCTTAACGAATTAACAAATCACCCCAAAATATAAAGCATAATGCAATCATGGAGTTCCTTGATCTTTCTCCTCCCACCCATCTTCATATTCCAGATTGATGGTGTTATAATTCTGATGTTCGGATGTGGTGGGATTCATGTAATGGATCCTTTTTAACCCTCTTTGCTTTGGCCATTTCGACAATAATCCTATGTTTTGGCCACTTTTACGATTGGTTTGTGGTTTTTTGTGTGTTCAAGGCATCATGATGAATGATTTCGATGATATTTGGATGAGAAATACACAACATGATGAAAACGATCGATTAGGAACGCAACAAACGATTTAACAAGATCGGTGATCTGATATCATAACAAATCGTGAACACGTAGACAAGAACATACAAGTTGTACGTGGTATCCTCGATCGATTGATTGCCGAGACTAATCCATTGGAGAGGACAGCCTCTTCGACTAAGATATTATTATTAAGACAAGGTTACAATGGCCGAACGACCTACATCCATCTTATACTGCTCGAGCCCTAGGTTTACACAAGTTACACTAAGACAAGGTCCACACACAACTAGGACTCCAAATGAGCCAAGCCGCTCGTGATCAACTTGGCGTTCGAATCAGCAAAAACTCGTTCGACACTCGGCTCATTAGTAAACGAGCCAAGTTTGAGCTAGACCATGCTCAGCTTGATAAGCTCGTGAGCTAGCTCGACTAGGCGACTTATTGAGCTAAGCTCGCAAGCTGGCTTGTTTAGAGCTTGTTGAAGGAATTAATTACTCTTCTGAACATGAAAATTATCTTGTTAATACGAATGTGTATGGAAGTTAGCTGTTATTTTTAGTTTATAGTGTTATTTTTATCGTTCAAATTCTTATGTTTACACATTTTTTCAGCAAGAATGATTTCAAATCGAGCTCATCTTGAGCCGAGCTTGTACTCAGCTTGACAAATTGTGTTAATGAGCATTTACCGAGCTCTACCGAGTCGAGCTCAAGCTGGATTATTTTTATTCGAATAGAGCTCGAGTTCGAGTTGGATTATCAAAATTCGAGTTCGAGCCGAGCTCGAGCTGAAAATTTTAATAATGAGCCGAACTCAAGTTAAGCAAAAACTCGACTCGGCTCGGCTCGTTTGCAGCCCTACAACGGCTAAGGAGCAACGAGCATTGAGAGGCAACTCGGACTGGGCCTCAGGAGCTGACTTGGGCTCATCCATGACTCGATCCAATAAGCTGGGAATGAAGGACATCTTCATCGCCAGTCCAGCGGACAAGACAATCAAGCTGATGATCAAAAGAAAGTTGACTTGTTCACGTTGCTAGCTTTTCCAAAGCATGATGTACTTGCAGAGATTTTTGTTGATCATAATCAATCTATCTCGAATTGGTGATGATTAGCAAAATATCCACGGGGCGAAGTGACTATAACAATTGAAACCCAAATGGTACTATACGAGTTTAATGAATCGTTGCTCATGATTCAAGGGTTTGCTTGTAATTCACAGCCTAAGAAACGAGTTGGTGTCGATAAACTTTTACTCTATTATCCGATAACCCAAATTAATGTGGAACTTACAATAGATAGATGCAAAACTCTACCACGACCCTACTTTGGCCGAACGTTTTCTTTCCTATGCCTAGCCGAACTCGGCCTCCCAAGAGAGCCCTACTGCTCGACTAATGACCCAAGCCCATGAAACCAATGCGTAAACACTAACCACAAACTCACAAGACCACATACTAATCCCTTCAATCCCCTACCATTTGTCTGCCTCACCGCCCCGACATGTACCCATCGTTCCTCTCCCTTCGAAATCAACATTGTCCCCAAGGTTGACAGGTGACGTCATTTTGTTCGAACAAACACATGACCTTTGCCGTCCCGCATTTATGGCCAATGGTTAATCGTTCATCGCAATTAACCCTAAGCCACTAACTTACCCACAGTCTTACTGAAATCCTAATCCAGTTCAATTGAACCCTAGGCTCACAATACCCAAACTCCATGTCAGTGGCGGACCCAAGAATTTTATATAGGTTTGTCCTCTTAAAAAAAAAAATCATAAATAAGAAAATACTTGACTCATACAAAGTTAAAAAAATTCCACGATGTGTTTTCATATTCGAAAATAATTGTAGAATACACCTGGTGTCTACCCTGCTCCAAAAAAAAATTGTCTCTGTATGTCCTACTTGATAATCATTCACGAATCGATCACATATTCGATTCTTAAACTTGTTATTGATGTAACCCAGAGTTGAAAAGACTCTTTCAACACTTACAACCATAAAATCAATACAAATTAAGGGTAGGTTGAAATTAGTTTAATTGTTAGATTTTGAAAATAATTAGAGATAACGAATGTCATTTTACTATTACACTGTATTTAAAATCGAACAAAAAATGATTTGTAACCTAATGGAAATTATGTTTATTAATAATAGTAGTGTCCTAGGTTCGAATTACCCAAACTACCACTTATATTCTCACACATAAACTAAAAAAAAAATGAGAGTAGAATAATCACTTTTTTAAATTTCAGGGGTGTCCTACACAATCAATTATAATTTTTTGTCCATACGTAAATTATCACCGGGGGTTGGATAATCGTTTTCCCAAAATTTAGGGGTGTCCAAACTCCCCTGGGTCCGCCCCTACCGCATGCCGTCTCACCTCACAAAGCGGCCGCCACCGCCTCACTGTCCGCCATCAAATCAGCCATCGCTCCACCGTCTTCTCCTTCATGCTGACACCACAACGGAAGAGGAGAGAAGATCGCCAACATGCAAAGTCCAGATCATCAGATTTTTGGATTCGACCTGGCAGCATAGCAAACATCGTAGGTGAGCAACGAGATATATATAGTCTTTTGCAGATTCTTTCGAGAGAGCGAGAGACAGAGGAGCGAGAGAGTAGCGATGGAGGAGGGTGATAGTGACGGCAGCAGGAAATAGGTAGAGCGAGCAATAGAGGTAGAGAGGGAATTTAGAGATCAAGGGAGAGAGAGGACAGGGAAGTTGGAGATCAAGGGAGAGAGCGGAGAGGCCAGAGCAGGAGAGAAGAATTGGTGGCGACCGTGACCCTTACCGAGAAACACTAAGGAAAGGGAGAATAAGAAGAAGAAAAAGAGGAGGCGGTGGTAGGTGATAATATTTCTGGTTAGGGTTTGGCAGCTGGACCATACCGGAATATAATTTGGTCCGACCAAACTGAACCGAATTATATTTCAGTTCAAATTTGGTTTGAACTATGGGTTAAGTAAAAAACCCGATATGCTCCACTTCGATTCAGTTTGAACAAATCGAATCAATGCCCACCCCTTGTATGATCCTCTCGCAACGCTTCTGCTCGGAAAATGCATATCTAGCATAATTTTGAAAGAAAAAACCCATAACAATGATGATGATCAATGTTGTCAAACCAATTTATATTGTTATTTTGGTTTGGCAAGTTGTATGGTCCGACAGGTGGTATAACCGGTTTATGTTAATTCATGTCGGTTTTAGCAAAATATGTAAGGAAACAGAAATCATTAACACTACATGAATTTAGACGTAGATATAACATATTTGCAAATAGCCTCTCAAATTCTACATCCATATTTGAATAAAATACAATATTCCAAACAAAATGAAAATTCTCTTATTTAAATACAACATTTAACCCAAACATCTAAACATTTATACTTGAATCGAACAAATAAAATAAACATCTAAATATTTATACTTGCATCAAACAAGTAACATCAATATTTAACTTTCAAATTAAAGAAAAATAACAAAGTATTCTTATTTAATTAAAGTCACCAGCATTATTTTGTTTAGATGTTCACAAATTGGTCATAATGGTCGTACCAAAAGCATTTTATCCATTTCTGTGATGGTTACGAGTTTGACATTTAGAAATCCAAATCACAAATAACAAATCCAAATCTTTCTATTCAATTGTACCCTAAATTTTACTCATTAATTTCGAATATGAGAGTCCTCTAAAAATATTGAAAATTAAGGTACACATTAAATGTTGGATATGAGAGTCCTAACTTGACTAGACGATGAAAGTTGGAAATAAATGAACATATATTCAAAAAGTAAAAGTAGAAGACTACATCTTTTAGTTGCAAGGATTAAGTGGATTACTTACTAGTTAAACTTAAATCAAAAAGTGAAAAGAGGAGAAGTTGAAGAAATAAAAAGGCAACGGTGGTAGGTGAAGCTCTACTAGGGCCTGCAAATGAACCGAGCTGAGCCGAGTTTTACCCTATCTTGAGCTTGACTCATTAACAAATGAGTTGAGCTCGAGCCCGAGCCATTTATTAACGAGCCGAGTCGAGTTCGAGCTAGGCTTGTTTACTAAATTCTTAGATCGTATTTGATACATTCATTTTGTATGTCGTGCATGGTACATGTGATTGATGTAGTGATAAAAAAATAATCAAATGTTCAACATTAATTAATCTTATTTTATAATTTTTAGGTGTCATATTGTTTAGTTAATAAATTTTAACTAGTTCAAATCATGTTATTTCATAGTATCGAAACAATTTTGTACATAATTTCTTTATAGAATTAAAAATAAGGCATATTTTCTTACATGTTCAACATGTTAACTTCACATGATGTGAGATATATAATTTAACAATCCTATAAATTATGAAAGTTCAAATTAGATCGATTAGTCCATAAGTCGGTAATCAAGTTGGCCCTCAAACCACAATGTTGAGACATCTCATGAGCTTTAAATGAGCCAACTCACGAGTTTAGCACAACAAGCCACCGAGTCGAGCTAGCTCGCGAGCTGAACAAAGCTAAACTCAAGCTTGGCTCGTCAGTAAACGAATCGAGTTTCGAACGAATTTTTCCCGATTCGAATCTCGAGTTGCTCGCGAGTAGTTTGGCTCATTTGCAGACCGCGAATTGGCAAGTGCCCAAGTTTTAGTTATTACTTATTACTAAACCATCGTAACTATCCTAGCTAGAAAAAAAAAAAATTTATCCTAGCTAGGTATGTACGTACGTCGGTTGGGTCGATATTAATCATTTTTAACAATCCTATCAATGAGTTTTTGGGTTGAATGATTGTAAATTTAAATCCATCCATTAATTTCAAAATCCGACAGGTTTCTTAGTCACGATTTTAGTCGGGTTTTGAAAATTATACCCATTATAGGAAAACAACATTTGTATTTTGAATAATATACGAATAATACATATATGACACTACATCAAATAACAAAAAAAAAAAAAATATTATAGTAACATGTTTTATTAATACTAGACAAATACAAAATTTAAAGTATTTCACTTACTAACACAATGTAGTACACTAAGAAATTAAATATAAAGAGAAGATGAGAATATAAGTAATAAGTGTATATATGTTAAGGAAACACTTGATAAATATTTGACTTTATAACTTACCAACTCTAACTATGTAAATAGAGACACGAGAAACAATTAAAGTAAGACATTTATTGTTAGAAGAATATATATTAAGTATATAAGATTTTGATGTATAATCTAGTATCATAGGCTGGTTTGGATATTCTCGGGTTGTAATCATCAAACCATCAACCAAGCCACAAGGGTACCGTAGAACTCGCCATATATATATATTGGTTACTTCGGCGCACTCAGTGCACCCAACTCTAAAAGTGTCCATAATACATCAAATTTTGAATTTTAATTAGTACTTTCAATCTAATATGATGATATGATATAGAATCATAACAAATTAATCTATTACCCTAACCCCTTAAACTTTAATTTTGAATCCCAACCCAAAATCCCAAAATGTAAACCTAAACCCTAACCCTAAATCCTTTGAATTAACGTAATTTTTTTTTCAAATTCATGTGCTTCTTGTTCATAAACCATAAGCAACAATTGATACCGTTTTGACACGAATCGAATGTTCAGAATGATAATTATGAGGCGGGTGTATTGAGTGCACCCAAAAAAATGTGTGCAATAAAAACTGAAAACAAAAATGTACCATAACCCACCACTTTTTTCATTCTGTCCATCATATTCATATATGTCTCAACAAGTCAATTCCCCAAACTTTCTAATTCGCATGGTAGGGGCGGGCATTCGGTCGGTTCGGTTCAAACTGAACCGAAATTATACATACCGGATCCCCGAATTCTATCAAACCTCAAACCGAATTCGAACCGAATTATAATTCGATTCGGTCGGTTCAAACCGAATTATAATTCGGTTTGGTTTTTCATATGAAACCGAAATAGTGAGGTTAGCTTGTATCTTCTCTTTTTTAAATTATTTTTCAGCCCTAATGCAAACAATAAATATGCATGATCAATGATAAAATCAAACATTTCAACACATAAGTCATAAAACACTAACATGATTCAAATATTTAAGTCTCATAATAAGTAGAAGCATAAAAATCCACCATTTAGAGCTTGCAATTATAATAATTCGGTTTTTCGGTTCGAAATTCGGAAATTCGGTTCGGTCGAAAGGACCCTGGTTTCCGAAATATGCCCATTTCTCTTCCGAATTCCGAACCGAATCACATTAATTCGGTTTTGGTTCGGTTTATATTCGGTTCGGTTAGGTTCGGTTTGATTTTACAGAACCGTATGCCCACCCCTAAATCTGCATACCTAACCCCAATCTGGGCCCCACCAGCCACTTTCCTCACCCACCATACCTGACCCCGACCCAAACCCAAACCCAGACCCAGACATTTTTTTCTGGTTTCAGCAGCCCATATACTTGCAATAGTGAAACGATTCGTAGCGCTTGGCTGCCGTACATCCCGTCGGTGTAGACACGGAGGGGCCTATCGGAGGAAACCGGCTGATCGGTATTGCGGACGACACCATTGGAACAGACGAGATTATTACCATTAGATTTCTTCGGGTTATTGTTGTCATTGGATAAAAAAGGACGCCGTCGTTGGAGAATGCAACATTGGTGCCACGGCTATTTCGCTGGCAATGGCTGGAATTTTGTCGACGACAGTTTCGTTGGGTTTTAAGTGTTTGAAAGAAAATATATGGACTAAGGGCATTTAAGTCAATTTAATTTAATTAGGGCGACAAATAATGAATTTTAGGGCGATGAATAGCAATGCTAAAAAAATAGGCCAGTCCTACCAAAAAAAAGGCCATTAAATTAAGGGTCAAGATTTGTTGGTAAAAAGTAGTAGTGGAGAGTGAGGTCAGCAACTGAAAAGGAGCCGACAAAAAGCTCCTTTTTTGGGCCCACGGACCAAAACGGAGCTGATGCAAGAGAGAGAGAGTAGAGAATGCAAGTTCTTGAAAATGCTGAATCTGATTTCTGTTTTGTACAAATATATTTTGTGATCAGTAGCAATATCTTTCATATTTAGTAAGAATATGGTTTTTAATACGTGGTATATTATTTTGAATAAGAGTTGTGAAAATTACGAATATAGAAATCACATATATGAAATATGTTTTCTATTCAATGCAAATATCATATTTTGTTTAATGCGAATATGATATTCTAATGTGTATATTTGTTCAGTACAAATATAATTTTTGGTCAGTACAAATATGTATTGAGCACTACTACTATGCTATATAGTATTGGTGCTTTAATGTACAACTTGAAGTTGTACCATAACATTAAATGTATAAGTTTAGGTTGTACCATAAAGGAATTTGTATCATTATGTTATGGTACAACTTTACAACTTGAAGTTGTACCATCACATCAATGTACAAATTTAAGTTGTACCATAAAAGAATTTGTACAAAAAGTATAGGTACAATCTGAAGTTGTACCATAACGTTAAAGGTACAATTTCAAGCTGTACCATAAAGACAAAAACCTATAGCACCAATACTATATAGTATTGTAAAATTCCTCATATGTATTTTGTTCAATAGGTTGAAGGAGATTATTAAGTACAAAGGCTTCCAGGTTGCCCCTGCTGAACTCGAAGCCTTACTTCTTGGTCATCCTGAGATTTCTGATGCTGCAGTTGTCGGGTAATAATAATACACAACTTGGGAGAATGAGGCCGCCGGGGAAATCCCAGTAGCATTCGTTGTAAAATCCGATAAATCCGAGCTTACTGAGGATTCAATCAAGCAGTACGTCTCTAAGCAGGTAACAAGAAGATTCACAAAGTTTCTCCACAGTTAATAATGTTCTCTAGGGTATGTAATTAGGTGCTTAAATGGTGCCTTGGTCGAACGATTTCAGATGCTGTTCTACAAGAGAATAAGTAAGGTGTTCTTCAGGGAGTCGATTCCAAAGGCACCATCTGGGAAAATACTGAGCAAGAATTTGAGAGCAGAGTTGGCTGATGGTATCAGAAACTAATCAACCACCCTTTTACTTTTACTCTATTGTTTATTAACCCATCCATAAGAAAGCTGAAAAAGGAGTCCTGCTGAATGGGAGCTGAACTTTCTCTTCTTTCCAACTCTCCCCCTCTTTTTTGCTATATGTCAATTCTCCATATGAACATTTATCCCTGGTTTGCTTGTGTAAAAGACACTGGAACAATCAGAATGTACTATTGCTTTGTGAAATTGAATGAATACAAGAAAACGAGTAATACTAATAACATAAGAATGATAACATCTATCGTGCCATAAGATCCAACTACGAAATCAGCAATGACAAAAAATTACCGTAACAAATCCTGCACTCTGCCTAAAACAACTCATAAACGAATCCAGCTGCATTGAAATCATTCTTCTTCTTGCTCCCAACCGAGCCCTCCTCAGCCTTCTTAACCATATCATCATTCTTCTTCTTATCTTGTTCCATCTTCTGCAACATCAGCTTCAGCCTCTCAATCTCCATGTCCTTGTCCTTCATAACCCTCTTTTGCTCCTCAATCCTGGCTTCCTTCTGCCCTACAACTCTGCTATTCTCATCAGCCATTCTCTTCTTCTCCTGCTCTTTCCTCCACTTCAAATTCTCAATCTCCATGTCCTTCTCCCTTCTAACTCTTTCAATCTCCGCTTCCTTCTCTCTTATAACTCTGCGATTCCCCTCGTTCGCTCTGCTAAGCCGACTCACCTCGCATTTGTTCTCCATTATCACTCTGCTTTGCTCCTCGGTCACTCTGCTAAGCCGGTTCATCTCGCCTTCATTCTCCATTACAACTCTCATTTGTTCCTCGATCACTCTGTTTAGCCAATTTATCTTGCCTTCTTTCTCCGTTATGACTCTGCTTTGCCCCTCAATCTTTCCTTCCTTCTCCGTTACAACTCCATTATACTCCTTAATCTTTCCATTCTTCTCTTCCAATGCCGACTTCAGACGATCAATCTCGCCTTCTTTCTCCCTTATAATCTTGATATGCTCCTTAGTTGCTCTGTTCTTCTCTTCCAAAGCTTTCCTGAACCGTTCTATCTCGCCTTCCTTCTCCCTCACAAGCTTTTTACTGTCCTCCAAATCCCTCCCCTGTTTTTCCAGCCTCGCCGCCATCTCCTTCTGCCTTGCCTCCTCAGCCATGTAATCAACCACCACCTCCCCTCCGGCCACAGCGTAGCGGTTCCACACGGTGGGGACGGCTGATGCCTCTGTTTCCGCCGGCCGTTTCACACCGTACCTGGCCCATCCGAACACGTCGTTGAGCTTCACAAGTCCAGCAGTAGACGCGTTCTGCGTGTTGTGGTTGTCCACGTACTTGACCTGGTAGCCGTCGCGGTTGACCAAGATTCGGGAATCGAAGAGCTCTTCGCGCAAGTTGTTCAGCTTGTCGCCTTCGATTACGGCGCCGAATATTTCTAGCGCATTGTGTACATTAGGGCTGATTGTGGAGGTGATGGTGGAGGTTTCGGTTGCGGCGGCGGCGACGATGCTCCACTGATCGGAGGGGCAGGCAGCGGAATTGAGATCAGTGACGGTGTCCACCACCGCGATGGCTCCCTCGGCGGTGCCGCAGAGGAACAAAGCGTTGGAGTTCACCTGGAAAGGCGACGCCATTGCTGTTTCGATCCTAGTTATCGTGGATTTACGAATTCGAGAGGGGATTAGATGGGGGTAAGGAAGAATGTTTACCTTGATTACTGATCAGAATGAAGGGTTTTTGCGGACGCAAATCAAACAAGTTCGCCGAAATTAAAAGAGTCTCTGGAGTCGTGAATTAGGGTAGGCAATTGGGTCGGGATGCGGAATTTATGTTACTGGGTAAACAGTAAACTCGGACTGACTTGTAGATAAAGAAAGGAGAAGCAGAAAACAAGCAGAATTGCAATCTATTATATCTACCCTAGCATAAGTCCGCTCGCTATCGTGTCGCGTGTTAGCGAGAACGTGATATTTTAAAGGGCTTGTCATTTGCAATTTCATGTAGTTGAAGCACGCAACCATGAACTTTAATAACAAAAATGGTCGTCAAATAAATAATTTTTATGTTTAATTTTCTCTCATAACACTATTTTTAGTTTGTATTGTTTTTAGTTTATTTTTTTTAAGTTCATCTTGATTTTCCCTTTGAGGAGGTTCAACTCACTTTGGCTAGATTGAATTAGGTTGACTACCCATGAATTTGGGTTCAAATTCATTCTCAATGAATTGGCTTATTCGAAAAAAGCCCGGTTCTTTGGAAGACCAAAAAGAAAAAGAGAAAGTAACAAACAATAAAGCAGATAAAACACGCTGACGATCTAAAACTCGGCAACGTCATGTTCAACTTTCTTTGATCGGATTGAACTGAGTTTGTAGAAAATTCACAACCCACCCAACCCGTCAATTACAAAAGAAAATAAATTCACTCTCGCCTGAAAACTTGTAAACATCGGATTCAAGTTGTTTTGATAGGGTTGAATAGGTTGGATACCTACAGGTTTGGGTGCTCAACCAAAAGGAAAAGGATAAAAAAAAAATACTAAAGCGGATAAAAATCACTCCCTACCAAAAACTCTGCACACCGAGCTCAGCTCATCTTGACTGGTTTGAACCGAGTTTTTAACAATTCACACTCGGCTCAACACGCCAATTCTAAAAGAAAGTAAAACGCACTCTCGATACAAAACTCGTTAGCACCAGGTCTGGTTTCAATTGTCATTCTTAACCAAAAGGAAAATGAGAAATAAAAAACATCAAAGCGAACAAAACTCACTCCCATCTAAAACTCGTCAACACCATGTTTAGCTCGCTTTGACCTGATCGAATCAAGTTCTTAACAAATTCACACTCGACCTAACATGCCAAGTACAAAAGCGGCTAAAACTCGCTCTTGATACAAAACTCGCCTATACCATGAGTTTGAGTTCAATTGTCATTCTCAACAAAAGAATAAAAAGAAAATTTTAAAAATATTAATGTTGGGTTCAACTCGCTTTGACCTGGTCGAATTAAGTTGGATACCAATGAGTTTGAGTTTAATTGTCATGCTTAACCAAAAGAAAAAAGAGAAACAAGAAAACTCTAAAGAATAGGAAACTCGAACCCAATACAAAACTCGACAACACATAGCATATTTAGTATTAATTTTTCGGTAGTAGTCTTTGGAGCGGTGGATGGGTACAAATTATGATTCATTTTTCGGTAGTAGTCTTGGGGCACGGTGAATGGAAACAAATTAGGATTCCACCAACAATGTTTGGAGACGGGTTGTGAATTAGTGGGTGAAGGCGAGGATTGTGCATAATATATATTATGGATCTTCAGTAGCGAGCGTGACATACATTATTCATTGATTTCGTTGATAGAGTTTCGAGATGGGTTGCGAATTGGTGGGCCAAGATGATGATTTGGGTAGAAGATCATAGACAAAAACCTAAAGATATGAAAACCTAAGTAGACAATAACTACTATGGGAAATCTAATGGGAAATAGATGTAGACCCGACAGATAATAAATGAACACATATGTTATAGAATGAGAGAGTGAGGTAAAGAGAGACTTGGTTTCCTCCGCCCTCTCTCTAAAACCCCTTCCCTCTTGATATTCGCCGGGCGCCGCCGGCACCATTTAGTGACCGGCGGCAGCCCAAAAATTGTCCCCTGTGTCCGTTTTTCTCGGTTTCCTTTTCAGCTTTCTGCTCTTCCTTTCTTTCGTTTGGTTTTTCTGGATGTTGTTGGCTTTTTCCTTTACCTCTATGTTTGTTTCCTCCCCCTGTGTGGGTTGATTTTTTGTGCCTCTGATCTGTTTGTTCAGATCTGGAGATGTCTCGTGCTAAGTAGTAAGGAGGCTAGATTCGGCTGAATCTGACTTGTCTCCTCTTTCTCGATCCCTTCGTCCACTGCCTTGTTTTGCCTTGCAGATCTGGGCGAATCAGAGATGTGGCCGCTGTTGCTGGCTTGGACTCGGCTTGAGATTTTTGGAGATCGAAGATCATTCGTATGGCGCCGTCATCGATCATCCGTTCAACACGTTGTTCTCTTTCGATGCTCTGTTCATTGGGGAGATGTTGTTTGGTCCGACGAAGGTTGGCCAGAGGTGGCTGTGGGCGTCTCTGCCTCTGATCTGTTTGTTCAGATCTGGAAATGTCTCGTGCTAAGTAGTAAGGAGGCTAGATTCAGCTGAATCTGACTTGTCTCCTCTTTCTCGATCCCTTCGTCCACCGCCTTGTTTTGCCTTGCAGATCTGGGCGAATAGGAGATGTGGCCGCTGTTGCTGGCTTGGACTCGGCTTGAGATTTTTGGAGATCGAAGATCATTCGTATGGCGCCGTCATCGATCATCCGTTCAACACGTTGTTCTCTTTCGATGCTCTGTTCATTGGGGAGATGTTGTTTGGTCCGACGAAGGTTGGCCAAAAGTGGCTGCGGGCGTCTCTGCCTCCCTCGGTCCTCCGGATTTGGGTTTTCCAGCGCCTCTTTTTCCATCATGGTTGGCGTCAGGTGGAGGTGATGTTGTTTGGTGATCCGACGGCGGTGGGTGCCATGGGGGGAGCATCACACCTAGGGTTTGGAGATTAGATTGCTTGGTTGGGCTCCCGGGTCTAGGCCCTATTGGGTTTTCGACCGGTTGTATGGGAGTTGGGCTTTGATTCTGATTTTTCCTTTCTTTTGCTGTAATGTCTCTTTTGATCTTTTCTTCTGGGCTTGGCCCATTTGCTACTTAATGAATCAACTTGTCAAAAAAAAAAAAAAAAAAAAAAAAAAACGGTAGAAGATCATACACAAAAACTTAAAGATATGAAAACTTAAGTAGACAATAACTACAACGGAAAATCTAATGGGCAATAGATGTAGATCCGACGAACAATAGATGAACACATATGTTATAGAATGAGAGAGTGTGGTAAAAGAGAGACTTGAAACTTTTCCACTTGCAATTGGAGGAGTTTGAGAGCCACTAATGAATAGTAACTCAAATGTTAAGCTTTTATATATTATAATTAATTAACTAGATAAGCCCGCTCGCTGCGTGTCCCATGAAGCGAATGATATAAAAGGATACAATCCAATAAATTAAGCTTTAACAGGTAAGGAATATAAACTCAAAATACGGCATACCTAGCTCGATATGATTGAAAAGTAACATGTGGTAAAATCAAACATTGTAAGAGGCTCCACGAAATGGAACATCTAAGTAACCGAATACGAATTGAGGAAACATATCTTGCAATAAATTGAAGCAGACCATAAAAAATGAACTCGCTGGCTAATGAATAGGTACCTATTCGGGGAACGAAAAAAAAAAACTCAAAAATCTTGACTTGATTAGAATATTTGAGCCAAATTAGTGTTATTCTCTTGCTCTTCATTGAGTACTATTGTAGCGACATGATTCTCCCACTATGTAGGTGTGCTAGGATCTAGAAAATTATTAATTATTTTTAGTCCAAATTAAGAATGAGAAATTTTTCGTTGTCTTTCTATTTGAAGTCGAGTCTTGAGAAAGTTAAGAGAATCCAAAAAAAAAAAAATGAATATGATGAAGAATTTAAAATGATAAATAAAAAATACAAAATAAAAAATCATTAAAATATTTCCAATAAAATGAATAAAAAGAAAATTGGGTTAAATAAAAAGAGAGAGGGATTATGTGTGGGTACCATTTCTTGCGACATTGGATATTCTTTTTTCTTTTTTCTTTCTTTCACTTTCGATTTCCGAACGTAGAGAGAAGGGAGAAAGAAGGGGGTGATTGTTGAATGGTCCACTTGATAAACTCTTGCCTCTAGAGCTTAGGTTAATTACATAAAAACCACTTACTGAATAATAGATTTAAAACCATCTTTTTTATAATATAAATATAGGTGATTGACTTGGTTGATTGATAGATACACATTTTCGTGATTCTATTCTAATCATCATAATAATTATTATTAGGATATTCACAAATAATGATAGTAGTATTTTAGTATAATTAGGTTTATTGTTAGGGTTTTCTATCTTTTCCTATATAAATGTACTTTGGGATTTCATTATAATCAATCAAGAAGAATATTAAGAAAACTTTTCTAAACCCTAATATCCCAATCCTCTCAATTCTCATCCCCAACCCCTCTAAAGTCCTAGGCCGATTCTCTATCTCTCCCTTCTCAAATCCCTAATTCTGTTCTTATTCCCTAAATCCCAATCCCACAATCCAATCGATAGAACCCTATTATCAGGTTCTATCATTTGGTATCAGAGCCAACATGAGCTCCTTGAGGCTCTCTGATATGGAGTGGATCCGTGTGAAGCAACAGCTCGACGCCATCTACGACGACCAAGCCAGGGCGGCGCGACGGACCGAGACGCCTGTCCGGCCGGACGCAGAAGGGGCGTGCCGGCGTGAGGCGCCGTTGAGTTTTGCGGGGGACGGTGGGTCGCCAAGGGCGGCCCAGGTGGAGGAGCTCGGCACGGCGGTCCGAGACGTCCGTCCGGTCGGACGCGACAGAGCCGTAGAGGCGCGGCGGCGCGAGGCGCCGAGGACTTCGGAGTGGGAACGAAGGTCAGCAGAGCAACTGCGGTTGATGGAAAAGATCTTATGAATCGTCGATTCGCCTCGGCGAACCAAGCCACCAGCCACCACCGTTGTGGTTTCCCCACCACCTGCGACGAACATCCGCGCCGTATTTGTCCCCGCTGCCGTCGAAGAAGAAGACTCGATAACGGATGTCTGCACTGTATCGTTGCAGTTCCAGGCAGCAGCAGCTGCTGTCTCCATCGGGTCGTCATCACCACGTGTCGTGGCCATCGTTGATCCTTCAACGAGTGACAACTGGGTTTCAGCCAAGGCGATGAACCTGGAAGAAGGACCTGTAGAGAGCTGCATTGCGACGGAGGTGGCCAAATCTCAACCTTTGTTGTCTGATGCAAAGAAGACGATTGAGGTTCAACCGCTGTCGTCACCAATAGTTGACTCGGCCATAGGAAAGTCGACCATTTCCAGGAGCAAGCGCATCTGCGTGGGAGCCAGACTTTTCTAAATCAGGACACTCCGCCACCGCAAAGACTACTAGACGATCGACCACCGCCGAACACGGGCCTCGATGCCGACGAACAGGAGAAGGCAAAGGTAGAGTCGAGTTGCTAGGGATAAGGATATCCGTCAGAGACCAAGAGGGAGGAGACGGTGACCCTTGCGGCAAATCGAGTCATGAGATTGAAGACGACCATAGGGCGAGCGACGTTGAATGGGAGAATGGACCCGTCGATGCCCACTGCAGCTGCTCCCCCGTCGCCGGAAAGAGGAACGACAGAGTTGACGGGAGGCGCGCTCGAGGCAAAGAAGCCAAGAGCGAGGACGGAGGCGATCTTGCCTCCTTGCCGTCCATCGCTTGGGTCGACCGCCGAGGACAAGAGACCAACGTCAAGGTCAGCAGCGGTCCGGCCATCACCCTGCCGGGTTCGTCGCCGGGAACACGAGCGGCGCAAGGGGCACTGCGACCAGACGACCATCTTCGACGAGATGTCGATGGAGAAGGAAGGGAGGCGGAGGAATGCAGAGCCGGAGTCGCCATCCCGGTGCGCCCTCTGTTGCTGGAGAAAGAGACAAAGAGGAAGTTGCTTAAGCTTCGAAGCGTGCGCGAAACATGGCAATAGGCGGCAGTTGTCGTCGCGATGCCGAGAGGAGGAAAGATTTAGTCGATGGCGGAGTTGGGAGAAGACTCGCCGTTGGAGTCGCGTCTGGAGAAGCCGAAGTTGACTTCCCGTCACCCGGTGTGTTGTTCACCGTCGGAAAGGAAGTCGAGGAAGGAGCCGCCAGCGAGGAGGGCGGCGGCCCTCCTGTCCATTACCCTAGGGCAGCACCTCGCACCACACAACAGCTGGAGCTTGGTTCATTGGGCTAGAACATATGGGTTGATCCTCTTAATGGATTGGGTCAAACTGATCAAGTGAATGGTGGGCCGAAGTGGAAGGTGAATTAAGCTGCTTATGAGCCAATTCTTGGACTCATTCTGGGCCTGACATATCAGTTTAGCAGGCAACACTTCAGAGTGACGTGGGCCGAGCAAGAAATTGGGCCGAGCAGAGCCATCAGATTTCAAGGAACTAATGGCTTGGGGTCTCAAAGAGTTGGGCCCGAACTATATTGTTTAGTTGAATATATTTCACCTGTGGACTTAAAAGAGAAGAAAGAAGGATTCATGGGCTTAGATGGTGGGCTCAAAGAAGAAAAACTCTATGATTCTTACTTTGTGGAGTTTGAAAAGGAGGATGGAAAGGCAATTGGTCATGGATGCGGTCCGAGCCACAGGGTTGTAGAAGAAGCAATGAGAGTTGTAGTTGCTGGAGTGGGATTCTTTCGAGTAGTGGAGCACAATTGGAAGAAAAGGAAGCACCAGGATTGGAGGAGATAAGGCACACTCTATGCGAGAGACAATGTGAAGAAATGGATCGAGTCGGTTAACCTTGAGGGCAAGGTTGGTCTCAAGGGTGAGGAGATGATAGAAACACGTTTTCTTGATTCTATCCTAATTATCCTAATTATTATTATTAGGATATTCACAAATAAGGATAGTAGTCTTTTAGTAGAATTAGGTTTATTTTTAGGGTTTTCTATCTTTTCATATATAAGTGTACTTTTGGGATTTCATTATAATCAATCAAGAAGAATATTAAGAAAACTCTCCTAAACCCTAATCTCCCAATCCTCTCAATTCTCGTCCCCAACCCCTCTAAAGGCCTAGGCCGATTCTCTATCTCTCCCTTCTCAAATCCCTAATTTTGTTCTTAATCCCTAAATCCCAATCCCACAATCTGATCGATAGAACCCTATTATCAAGTTCTATCACTGATTTTCAATAGGTGAAAGGAATTTTACTTTCAGGGTTGAATTGAAAAAAATATAGGCAAGAGGTTCAGTTGACACTTGAACTTTCATGATTGGGGCATCATCACGAGGATGACCAGGAGGAGACTACGTTTACAGCGTAGCCCAGTACATCGACGAGCATCGGGAGTAGTATCGATTTGATCTCTTGGAGACATTGGCGAGGGAATGAACTATCTATCATCAGCCGACTTTCACATTTGGAGTTGACAAGGTGACAAGCTAGGGAGTAGACCTCACCAACAACATTTTCCCTACATACTCTACATGGACAACAACAGGAAACCAACAATACATTTGATAACGATGTAATTGCACATGTTTGCGCCCCTAGTTCTTATCCGTTTGAGGGGCATAGTCGTGTGTTTTGGCCTATTTTACGCCGGGTTGTGCTACTTTGTCATGTTTCAGGTCCCAGGTGTCAAAGGGAAGGCTGAGCGCGAGTTTCGGGGCATTCGGAGGTCATTTCGTTAAGCTGGGGCCAAAACACGGGCACACCTAAGGCATTACACGGCCGTGTTCCTGTGGCCGTGCTTTTTATGCCGAGAGCTGAGCTGATTACACGGGCAGGGCCGAGACAAAGCACGGCCGTGTTCCACCAAAGCACGGCCGTGTCCAACGCCAAGCACGGCCGTGTTTCTTCCAACTGCTGGCCGTGTAATTAACCCTGGCCGAGGCACGGGCAGGCTCAGGCAAAGCACGGCCGTGCCCTCGACCGTGCTTTGGCCACTGATGCCTTTTTAAGCAGATTTTCAGCCAAACAGAAGGGGATTCGAGTTTTAGAGAGAGAGATCAGTTCCTAGAGAGAGAAAGCGACGAACAAGAGTCTCCAAGCGCCCTAGCTTGATCTTCAACACCATTGGAGGCCGGTTTGAGCTTGGAGAAGTGCCGATCAACGTCCAGAAGCAGGAATCCATCCTTCACAGTATGAATTCCGCGTCTGATTCTGCTTTTGCTTTCTTCTCCATGGAGTAGTTCTCCCATTCATCTGGGTATGGAGAACCCTAGATTTGTATGTTAGGCTTTGATTGTATGAACCCAAGTACTAATTCTATGATTGATTATATTTGATTGAGGTTTGAACGATTGAATGACTTGAATCCTGATCAAATTCCTGTTGTTTCTGCTTTAGGTTAACCTAGAATGAGAATATATACCTAGGTTAATAGAGTATCCTTGATTGAAGATAGGGGGTTGGTGACTTTAGTCGAGGAGCCAACTCACTATTCTGTACCAGATTTACTCCGGTAGTGGAGGTTTTGTTCTTAGGGCCTCAATCTGTCTACTCCGGTGGAGGTTAGTCGCCCGCTAGAGATTCAGATTGAGAGGGTCTGAAGACCTTTAGTCGAGACTTCAGGTTGTTTAAGAACCTTCCGCAGTATAACTATCATAGAAACTGAACTTGGTAATTACAATCCGGCTTAACTGCAGTCTAGGGGGAACCATATCCGGGTGACCTCTTTAACCTGAATACAACCGTTTACTTGCTTTGTTAGTTTGATAGTTTAGACTTGCATTCCAGTTTCATTGCTAGATAACAAGAATTCACTGAGTAGTCATCAAATCTAGGACCCGGGTTGACATATAAACCTAACCCGCTATACTACGCTTTAGGAAGTGGTTTCACTTGGCCAATTCCTAGGGTGACAGTAGTGTCGAGTCAAGTTTTTGGCGCCGTTGCCGGGGACGGCTAGGTTGTTGAAGAAAAGTGATTTCTGTTAATTTAGCTTTTCTTGTTGCTTTATTTGCTTTTTCCCACTTGTGCCTTCACGGGTTTGCTTGCTTGATTGTGTGCAGGTAGTGCATGACCCGTAGCCAGTCGGGAGGTTTACTGCCGTTGAATCCAGAGATTGAACGCACCTATCGCCAACTCCGGAGACAACAACGAGCTAGACTGGCTACGGAAGAGCGCATAGACGGCCACGTGAGCAGTGATTCTGAGGAGGAGTACGAGATGGAGGACTACAATCAACACCAGGGGAATCCTCAGCAGGCTCCCCCGGTGAATCAGGTCCTGGGGAACAACCCCATACCCCAGGTTCGTGGGGTTCATCATCCACCGCAGCCGGGTCCCACCTTGGAGTACTACTACACTCCTCGGATTGCTGACATCCGCCCGGTCATCCTCTACCCGCCTATCCCAGCAAACAACTTCGAGATCAAGCCATGCTGGATTCAGCTCATTACATCCTCTATCCAGTTCCATGGCTTGAAGGATGAGGAGGCCAGGGTACATTTGTCCCGTTTTCTGCAGCTGACAAACGGGTTCAAGCTCAACGGTGTTCCTGATGATGCAATCCGCCTTCATCTCTTCCCCCATTCTCTGGCGGGGAATGCTAAGAGGTGGTTGGAGACCCAGCCCCCATTGTCCATCACCTCTTGGGACGATCTGGCTGACAAATTCGTGCACAGGTACTATCCGGCATCGAAGACTATAGAGATCCAGCGGGAGATCACTCACTTCCGCCAAGAGCCAGATGAGTCACTTCGTGATGCATGGGAGCGGTACATGGGCTATTTCTGGCAGTGCCCCCATCATGGCTTCAGTGATGCATTCACAGTGGGGAACTTCTACAGTGCCCTCTCTCCAGATAGCCAGAGGGTGATTGAGTCTCTATGCCTAGGAGGGGATATTCTCACTAAGACTCCACCCGAGCTGAACCAGATGATCAGTACTTTGGCTGCCAGAGATCATTCTTGGGGACAGGGTAGCCGAGGCAGACAGTCCCGGGACCGTGGTGTGCACGCCATAGAGACCAGGTCCGGGCTCGAGCAGCAGGTAGCTGAGCTAGTGCAGACATTGAAGCAGCCTAACAGTCTTATTCCGGGCAGAGGTTTGGCTACACCTCCAGTAGCTCAATGTCAGTGGTGTGAGAGCTCCAATCACCTAGTGGAGGACTGCCAGGCTATGAGGGAGTCTACCACACCCCAGGAGCAGTTGGCCTTCATCGCCAATGCGAGGCGCCTCGATCCATACAGTAGCACATATAATGAGGGGTGGCGCCAGCATCCCAACTTCGCCTGGAGCAGCAACACCACTAAACCACCTAGTTTCCCAGCACCAGCAGGTGGTTTTCAGTAGAGGCAGCCCTTCCAGGCTCGCCAGGGGCCAGACCCACAGCAGCAGCCCTACCAACCTAGGCAGGGGCAGCCATTCCAGCTGCCCCAGCGCCAGTTTGCCGAGCCAGCAGCAGCTCCGGCCCCAGATGACAGGATGACGAAGCTGGAAAACATTCTAGCTTCATTCATGACTAGCACTCAGGCTGCTATCACATCACTGGAGGCAGGTCAGCGGAACTAGGGTGCCATTTTGCAGGATCTGCAGACCCAGGTGGGCATCTTGGCCCGCCAAAACACTACCAGGGCACCGGGGACTCTGCCTGCCACCACTGTTCCGAATCCTCGAGATCCTCACCAGCATCAGCAGCTGGATGCCATTTTTACCAGGAGCGGTAAGACCATATGTGCTGATCCTGTCCCGGCCAGACAGGAGGAACCACTACCTGCTTCAGCACTTCCAGCCGACGATGCAGAGGTGCGGGTGGAGAAGGAAGGCCCTGCTCCCAAGCCACAACCAGTGGTTAAGGAGCATGTCCCCCAGCTTCCCTTCCCCACTCGCCTACAC